ATGCAGCTCCTCTGGGCCGAGACCAGCTGGTGTGGGTGCTGGAAGAGGCAGGGCCTGAGCGTGGGCGGTGGTGGCAGGGAGCCCCGCACCCCCAGATGGTGGTGCTGTCTGTGGAGTCCTCAGGAAGTGGGGTGTAAGGAAGTCTGGGTTCAGAGCCACCATGAGCCCGGGTCCTGCCCTCACACTGGCCACTTCTGCAGGGGTAGGGTTTGGAGAGGGGCTGTGGGGGACACGCCATTCCCTTCTCAGAATAGACCTGCTCCCCTAGGAGAAACCACCCACTGAGAGGGTGCTTTCGAGTGTGTCCTCCCCAGGTCAACCTTTACCCTCAGAAGGGGAAACATCCATCCCCGCTTCCCCGGCCCCAAACTCCTGACAGTAAGGATAAAAAACGTTGGTGTGAAAGGGGGTGAGGGAGGAGAGAAAAGCCATACCGGAAGGGAGGCTGGGAGAGTGGTCCCAAAAGAGCAGGGGCCTGGGAACCCTTTCCCAGCCTGGGGCCCTCTCCTCTACGCCCCCCCCCCCTCACTGGAGCTCCCTCCTAGGGGGACCTCCCTTTTCCTTGGACTGGGAGGCAGACACAGGAAACAGTGGTCACTGGCTGAGTAACCCAGGATGGTACAAGAAGGGGGGGTGGTTACAGCTCTCTCCCCTGCTGGTCCTCTCGAAGCCCAGCCCCTCACTCACCTGCCCCCTATTCCCCCCTATTCCGGGGCGGGGCAGAGCAGGGAGGAGCACTTTCTAAGCATGACCCTGCAGCTGCCCAGCGGGTAGGGGACTTCATGGACATAAAGTTTCTAATCTCCCCTCTGGGTGTCTGGGCCCCAACATTCCCTCCAGGCCCTCAGCACCTCCTGGGGAAGGGACTGTTCCATGGGAAGGGAAGGAAAGGAAAGGTGTAGGACCACATTCGAAAGAGCAGCATCTGGCATGAGGGTGGGAGTCCCACAAACTGAAAAAGTGGGCCCCAGACCTAAAAAGACAACTGTAGACAGTGTGTGTGAGGTGGGGGGAGCTAATTCACCCCTGAGGCCTCCCTTACCCGCCCCACCCCCCTAAGTAGCTTGGGCAGAGGAGAGCCAGATGGAGAAGGAAAACAGAAATCTCTTCCATTCTTCGTTTTCCCCCTGCCCCATTCTGACACCCCCCATCTCTTTGGAGGGGGGTGAGTTAAAAGCCCATTAAAGTGCAGCTCTCCCCCCACCACCCCAACCCTTTTGAATCTCCCCACAGGATGTGCACAGGGTGGGATTTGGCCTCGGTTGCCACAGCAACTGCAGTGGGAGTTCCCAGACGCTAAGCAACCCTCCTGTGACCCTCGCTGACCTGTCACCCCCACAACCTGAGGACAATAGGAGTGCGGCTCTGGAGGCCCAGGACGCCTTTCAGTGCAGCGGCCAGCAGCTCCGCCGGCCCCCACTGGGCCTGCTCAGCCCTCCTGCCCCAAGTCCTGCTCGCCTGGGCTGGAGTGCCCAGTCTGGCCCCCAAGACCTCCCCAGGCCCGCCACCCCCCAAACGCTGGCACACACTCTCCCAGCTTCTCCCGCCCCCTACCAGAGGTATCTGTGCAGTCCCCGTGTGAACATTATTAACATTTTCACGCCGCAAGGGCAACCTGCAAGAAAAAAGCCATGCAAGGGAACCACGGGGTGGGAGTGGGGGGAGGGGAGGAAGGACTGCCTAGGTGAAGGAAGAGGACTGATGGGCAGCTGGCACGTCTGCTAGGCCCAGAGTATTCTTTAGCGGCAGCTGGGGGCTCACCAACTCCAGCTGGCCAGCAGGGTCGCCGGGCAGACTCAGGTGCAATGCATGTCTGCGGAAGGAATGCGTGCACCAGGCCCACCACACTCCCCACGCCCTTTCCTCACGAGAGTGAGCCTAGAGGCTAAAGGCAGAGTGGACGTGGCATGGCTGTCACTCACCGATAAGGGTGTTGGGAGGGGGGAGAGGCGAGAGGGGAGGGGGAAGTTGGGGCCTTGACTGCGGCAATGGGGCAGCCGGCCAGGGACCCTCTCTCCATCGGAGGGGCCTGGCAGCCAAGCTATGTCACCCCCCTCCACCCCAGGCCTCTGTTTAAACAAGCTCCGGCCTGCTGTTGCATGGAAACAGGCGTCTGCTCTTATTCCGAAGTGACGTGGCTGCCCTCTTCAGCACTGTTTGTTTCAGCTTAAAGTCCTGTCACCAGTCTGACTTCTGACTCGCCCTGTTTATCTCTCTCTCTCTCCTCTGTCAACTCATTATTCCCAAAGGCCAAGCTTGCATTTCCAGGGTTTGTTTACCCAGAGCGGAGGGACAGAGACCAACAGACAGAAGGACAGAGGGAGAGAGGACAGACCGGTCAACGCCCACAGACACCCCCCCACCCCCAACCTCCTTCCTCTGGAGTGGCTACTTAGGGCCAGTGGACAGTGTTGCTTCTGTTTGTTTGTTTTAAGAGACCTTTTAGGTTGAGAATGGAGTGCTCTCAATCATGCATCAGTAGACGTTTATTTAGCACCTACTATGTTGCAGGCCTGCTCCCTCCATCTCCTACGGGGGACTGTGTGCGTGGCAGGAGCGAAAAGGAGGCCGTGCTGAACCCTGAACTGGGAACTAGGAGGCCCGAGGTCTAGCTGCAGCCTTTCCCAGGTCGCATGGACAAGCCAGTGCCGCCTCTTGCTGCCCTCTCACCTGTGAAATGGGAATAATATCCACTCCCCTGCAGGTGACTGAAGGACACAGCCAATGAGAGACACAGGTATTTGTTTGTCCTGGAAGGACTTCCTGGTTGGGACAGAGGGAGGAGGAGCCCACTGGGCCAGGCTCTCTTTTCTATGGTTGGTTTAGCCCACAGATCGGAACATTTGTTGGGGGGGGGGGGGGCAGAAAGTGTTACCCCTGAAACTCCCCCCACACCTCACTCATATATTGGGGGGTGGGAGCAGGGCCTACAGACGGATCTTATTTAATTGCACATTTTGGATTTTTAATTTTGCAGGTCTCTTTTCATAGTTTGGAGCCAACAAAACCTTTTTAAGTCTCAAATATTTTCCTTGGCCCCAGGCACTACGCCCGTAGTGAGCCCAAATGGATAAAACAGCCCTCCGCCTGCCTCCCAATCTCCACCCCAGTTTATTTGTGAAGCAGATACAGGATTTTCCAGGACTTTGGGATATTCCCCAAAACAAACAGGAATAACTGGAACATGGAACACTGAGGGTAAAACATGCGTGTGCAGAGCGGAGAAACCTGATCAGCACACACAGTGCTTCCCACCCCACGCATCTCCCCCGCCACCCAGTTTCTGTGCTCACTCTTCACTTTAAATGCGTTTTAAAAGACATTCCCAGTTTCAGCGTTTCTCCTGCCCCGATTCTGTGAGGAAGGGCGGGAGGGGAAGCTGGCCATACAGAGTGGGTGGCCCTGGTGGTGGGGGGTGTTTTGTCATTATTTTGGTAGAGGGTGGGATTTTGCCCTTTGACCTCTGTCTCCAGTAGACGGCACAGGCACCGAGTCTGTCCCCCAGAGAGCCTGCTTAGGAAGGCTTGGGAGATGCCAGGACACTCCCAAGGCCCATCTCCCCGGGGAATGGGGACCGAATGGAGACCGGCCCTTCCAGCCAGCCCCCACTGCTTGTGAAAGGAAGTGATTTTTAAAGCCCTTAGTTCTGTTCCCATCCACGCAGCCCCTGGGGACGGGGGTTTCACACCTAAACTGCATCTGATCCTAACAGCCCAAGGAAGCCAAAGCTCGGGGAGGCCCAGGACTTGGCAAAGGTCACACGAAGGGGCAGGCTCGTACTGAACCCGGATTTGCTCCATTCCTGTGTCAGGGCTGACGGGCTCCGTGCAGGGCGCCCAGCGTCTGACCAGGCTGCTCCAGGCTGACCTCCGGCTCCCGGGCATGTGGGGGGAAAGGGCCCCCTAGGGGCTGTGGAGAGGGAGGAGGAGCCCCAGGGTGAACCTGGGAGCCAGCATGAGGGCAAGGTACACACATCCCGGCAGGCACGCACCTAAGGCCATCAGGCAGGGGTGGGAGCCGGTGGGGAGGGGCAGGCAGGACCTGAATTTTCCTTATTCTCAGCAGAGCCCCTAAGGGCCAGTGCCACCAACACTGATTCGAGAAGCAGGGAGTCAAGTAAGAGGAGGCTCTCCAGGCCGGGCTGGCTGGGCCGGTTCTCATGAACTTGTCAAGCACGATTCTCCCTGTTTCCCGGGTGGGGCTGGGACCTGGGGCCCCGGTTCTGTCATCGCCCAACCAGGCTCCCCACCCTCGGGCCTCTATCCACAGAAAGGCTGGTCTTGAACTCCTGAACTCCGTACTTCAGAGTGGGAATGACGGAGGGGAGAGGGAAAGTGGATAGAGACAGGGGTGCCCAGTCTGAACCCTAAAAATGGAGGCGTGCCTTTGCCTCTGGCTCTTGGCCTTTTCCCAGCTGCTCTGGCCTCTGGTGTCTGGAAGTTTGATC